AAAACAAAAACAAAACAAACAAAAAAACGAACAAACAAACAAACAAAACAAAACAAAACAGGATCGTACCACATGAATAGCACATCATTACTGGTTCATATGAAAAGACAAATATATTTTTCGTAGCTGCGCTGTACAGACTGCTTTTCTATTGCAATTAATAGGAATATAATTTTTGYTTAATCAGCCCTAACAACTCCTCTAAATGAACAACGCTCCTTAGAAATCCTTAGAAAAAATATCGCCCTGGGACCTCAACGTTGTCCGGCTGTGTATATGATCGGTTCCCTTACCTGTAGTATAATGGTTAACACAGTACATTGGACTAGAAAACCGCTGAAGACGTGGGTTCGATTCCAGCCAAGGGCATACGATATTTTTCTGTTAACTAGTCCGCGTGGACAAACGTATCAATAGAGAAAGTAAAACAACAACATATCAACAAAACCACACAAAAAATTGTGCTTACCATGTTCTCTCTTACAAAATGGTAATATTTCCAAGAGACTCTGAACTGAAGAAGCTCTGGGCTCATCTTCTCGGTCGAGTTGTTGAGTAGGCAGTTGTTTTGTTGTCCTCCCTTGAGATAATTCATGGACAAGCAGCTACAGTTCTGGTGACATTCTCTGAAGCATTCCACTTCATTGATGGTCGTGGTGACGAGGAACGTGCTGTGGGCCAGCAAATGGTCGTATATGACGTCACTGTTGACGAAGAAACTGTTTCTCTCGTAGTTGAGGGATGGGCAGTTTGTCGTTACTGAGGACAAGCAGAGAGCTGATAGAAGTATGGAAAACCGTAGCAAACCAAGAGTAGTCGTCATCTATGTACAGAAAATAAGCAGGTACACGTATAAGAGACTGTGTGTTCAAAACCAAAGAGCTGATTATAAAAGAGCGCGCAAAGGTTTTTTTTAGCCACTCTTGTGTGGCAATGTAATCGCCTCGCATTCCAGTGCTTTAGGATTACTTTACACGCGTAGCCATAAAAGGTTTTCATTGTCATGGGGATGTTATATAAACATGGCCATCACGAGACAGGACATTCTGTCTGACTGCTTTAAAAAAAAGTAATTGCAAGACGTTTTAATATTTTTTTCTGGGCACATTATTCATGCTGGTTCAAACTAAAGAAAGAAAATGGGCTGTCAAGAGATCGTTTTTGAGACAATGAAATTTGAATATTACCATCCAAGCAAGTTTTCGAAAGAAAAATGACGGAGGTTTGGCCGGCGCACAAAATAGTGCACTGCCCCATAGTTAACTATGATCGCTCTAAAAAACAAATAACTAAGAAAGTACTTTTAGAAACAGCTACTTTAACATTATTTTCGAGAATTTATTCCCCACTGCGACGTAGCAGTACAATGCAACGCCGTTGTCACTGAGTTCTTCTGTATCAATGACCTATAGAACTACGACCCGATTCATTCGTTTTGACTGCGCCCCTTGAACGCACAACAACAACAACAACAACAACAACAACAACAACTTTATTTAATGAGGGTGGCACTAAATAGTGTACTACACTAATAAACTTGTGGCCCTCAATATAAAACTACTAATATTTACAAATTTAAAAATATGAAATATATGTAATAACAACTATCAACATGACTTATTAGAAAAATTGACTATAGTATAATAAAACATTACATCAAGATTGAAATGAACTATTTAACTGTGAAGCTCAGCGACACCACGCTCACGCGGACGACGCAGCGACGTAGCTGAACGTAAATAATATACTTCAGCAACGTCGAAACGCCGCCCCATGAACACGACGCCGCCAAACTTCACAGCCAAATTAAACAGGAATCTATATTATAAATGTAAAAGGGTAAAATTGAAATGGAATAAAATGAAAAGAAAATTAGGGGAAAAAAATAATAATAAAAGAAAACTATAGATAAAAATGTGACAAAAAAGTCTGCTCTTCGAGAAATTTCCGGCGAAGAGCGCGTTTAAACAATTGAACTGTTGCTTGTTTCTTAATGTCCGCACTTAAATTGTTCCATTTTTCTATGGCGCTAACTATGAATGTTCTTCCTCCTTCAACGCAAGCGTTTTTCTATGATCGAATTGAAAGTAGTTACGTTTTTTCTCGAACTTTTTGAAGGAAATTTTTTATAAACCTGTTGTTTTAAAAGAAGTTTAATGCGTGAAAAATAAGTCCCGTGCGAAATGTATGCGGTTCCTCATCAATAAGATTATTCAAGGTTGAGGGCAGTAGCCTTAAATTCATCAGTATTTTCAACATCTGCGTGGGGAAATAAACTACATCTGACGTGATATGTTAATCAGACGCAGTTTCAATTCCTTGCATGAATTTACTTTTCTGAGACAAAATTGAAAACAAAATGATAGAAAATTTGGAAATTACGGAGATTTGAAAGATAATAGTCCGAGTATTTAAAACGAATTTAGAAAATGACGAAATGATTTAAAAAAAAAAAAAGAAAACACCACACAATATACAATTATTTGCTGAGAAAAATGGCATGTATGGTAACATTTGCGATCGTGGAATAAGTTCTTATCCSATGCCGAAGAGCACAGCCAAATAAATAATTAAATGTCTATATATCGAGGGAAAATGTTAAAAAAAAAACGATCTTTAAAAGGACGACCAAATTTTTATAGCTTGGAAAACTCATTCTTAAACACAATATGAGGAATTTTAGGTTTCTCATCATATTATGTTAACACAAGTATCATTTCAAATCATTTTTTCCTTTATTACCGACCGATATGGACTGAGAGGGCTGTAAGATGATTGCAAGGCTCATCTTTGAAAATATTAACGGATAATATTTGACGAAGGATAAGAAAGAAAGAAAGAGAGAGAGAGAAAGAAAGAAAGAAAGGAAGAAAGAAAGATGGAAAGAATGAGAAAATGAGAATGGAAGCGGACAAGGATTAACAAATAATAAAAAAGAAATAAAAAGAAATGGAAACAGAAAATTGACGATAGAATGGAGTAGTAAGGAAGTAAAAATAAAAACTGAATGAGAAACGAAAATCCCGTACACTCGGAAAAAGAAGTCCGAGAAAGGAACGACCAAGTCTTTAAAAAAAAATCGACCAATTGAAGTCGCCAACGTAAAAACAGGAAAAAAAAGAAAAGAAAAGAAAAGTCGATGGCCCTAAATGAGCAAACGTAGTTTTYTTGCGAGCTCGATTATATTATGCAGTTAAGTCTCTAACGTTGTTACTTACATTCAACGAAGCGAAGCAAATGGAGTAGTTGTTTTTCGTGAAGGTTTTTCGTTAGTCAGCTCACTAGTCTTAATTCGAACAACAGTAAGTCTCAATTAAAGTTTCTCCGTGTGTTAGTTCTTTAAGTACGGATGGTACGTTTACTTTTCACGCATCAACACTTCGAAACTTTGTTCATCTTGACATAAAATTGAGCAACTATAAGAATATTTCAATTCCATAAAGGAACATTTGAGATAATTAAGCAGCAAGCTGTGATAACAAAAAAGCATCTGCAACTCGTTGTTTATTGGGGGCGAGGACGGGGAGGGGGGGAGGGGGAAAGGGGAAGGCTTCCTAATCTCGTTCCCAGAGCCAAGGTTCCTCTTCTTCAGCACCGAGGAAAGATAGGCTCTGGCTGTAGCAGATTCTGAATAAGTTAGCTTCCACTCCGTGAATATCTCGGAGCGTGGAAGTTTCAACTGCGCATGCCTAAATCACAAGCTAGCCGTTGTTTGGGTCAATCTCGTACCCAGAGCCTGCGTTTCTTCTGGCCTGCGGCGAAAAACGAGGGCTCTGGCATAATCACAGGTAGCCCAAGCTTGGTGGTGTCCTGTTATAAGGAAATGTATGGAGATTCATCAAAAATTTCAATAAAATCATTGAAACGTGAAATAAAGCCTCGCTGAATTTAGCCCGTTTTAAGATTTTTTTCCTTCTTACTGGTGGGGAAAAAATCTTAAAACGGGCTAAATTCAAAAAATAACCACGCAGAGCGAAAGAAGTGCTATTTCTCAATGATCGGGTAAAATTTCGAGGCTTTATTTCACGTTTCAATGATTTTATTGAAATTTTTGATGAATCTCCATACATTTCCTTATGACAGGACACCACAGGAACCAAGCTTGGGCTACCTGTGGCATAATCCATTTTTTGAGACCAGGATTTCTTGGACTTCCGGTATAAGAGCGCTTACGTTAAAAGACTTGCCAAAAATAACAATATGTTCCCGATTTCTAATTCTTATTTCGGATCGGAAATAAATACAGAACTCTGTTTGAAAGCCTGATTTTCAATGATTAAATTTTAACTTCCGGAAAATTGCGCATGCGTCAAAAAATGGATTATGCCAGAGCCCTCCTTCTTCGCCGCAGGCCAGAAGAAACGCAGGCTCTGGGTAAGAGATTGTTGTTTGGGTTACCTTTGGTCTTTAGCGATTTAAATTGCTTCGACAACGGTCATTCATGACCCTTTTAACATAGAATATTCTAGTCTAATTATTTATCCTTTGTCTACTTAGAGTTTACTTATTCGGTTTGTCCTCTGCATAATTCATTGTGCAATTTTGTGAGTTTTTAACACGTTTTTGTTTTTGAGATTTAAACATCCCCACAAATGCAAGAGCGATCGGCCGCCAACTCGTATTAATTCTTGCCAAAATTCGCTTAAGTCATCTACTCATTTTCATTGGGGATACATGAATAAAGATCTATTATCGTACCATAATTCTAGCAAATCCTGAGTTCGATCCAAGGAAATTTAGCCGCTTGAAAAATCCACTTAATTTTCAAGACTTTCGTGTCAGTTAGCCATTTTATTTCCTGAAAGACTCTTTTTGTATTTTTTATCCGGACCAATCAGTATGCTCAAAAAACGGGCCGCCAGAATCCCTCGTTATTTTCTCGGTAATGACCAAGGGGAACGTGGGCTCTGGGTACGAGATCGTACCTTCTCTTGGTGGAGTCAATCTTTGGAGTTCGCGAAATGCGAAATTTTAAAATCCGGAGAATTCACAAAGAAAAGAAAGGGGAAAGTAGCGAAAACTAGAAGAGACAACTACATCGAGAGAGGAAAAAAAACAAACAAACAAACAAACGAAAAATGAATGAGAAATTGAAAGAATGAGAAAAGAAGCCGTACGTAGAACAAGAAAAAAGAGTTAAAAAAGGGAGGATTTATAGCCATGTTGGATGATATAGTGTTATGGGACGACCGCTCTCGGTACGATCTCCGGGATCTTCATTCCACTTTCTCTGACTCTCTTCTGGCTTAAACTAATTACATGAGCTCTATTTATAATAACTTCATGACAAGTGTCATTCTACAATCAATATGATATTATCGTTGAATATTGATTGCTAAAGGAATAAGTAAATTCCTTAGTGTGATATCTTATTTAAGAGTAATACGAGTAAAAATATTAGATTTAAACATAGCTTAAACTAAAGTTAATATATGAATATATTGCAAATGTCATAAAAAGTCTACGGGGAATATTTCATCATAAGATTTAAAAGAATAGTGCTAAAATAACTGAGCAAAGGGGTAAAAAGTGTGTAGGRCGTAACCAGAGGTGTACATGCTAATGGAGGAGCTAAGAGGTTTACTTGTAAATTCAAAGCATACCATTATCTAAACTTGTGCGTGATGGTAGCCTTACTGAAATCTTATATCGATATTTTATGTATAGCTAATTGATCCTTCTTTATCCTGTTTTCATAAGATAAGCAATAATAATTTGAAAACTGATGTCTAGCTTAGTTCGTCTGTAAAAACACTAATTTTCTCTCTCATAACAATAGTTAGAATTATGTTAATGTGGATAGACACCATTTTCAGTTTGTTCAGTATTCAGAATCAGCTTTGAAAGTAACCATAAAGCAAACTCTAAAAATAATAACTAAACTAATTTTAAAGTATCGATTCTTGTGTATCGACTTTCTTGTATTTATACTTGAAAGACTTGAAAGCTCAATTAAACTGGTGTTGTGCTTTCTCTGAAGGAATATTTTTGTTTGCGGGTTTTAGTAAGTCTGTTAGTTTCAAAAAACTGTTTATTTGATGTTTTTATTGGACCCTCGACTTTTTACCCTCGACCCTCGACTTCTACCTACACTCCCCACTCTGATGTTTTGTAAGGCTTTAAGTTATGGAAAGAGCGATAATATGGCACTATCTACATTAATTATTTCGGGTTTATTCCATTCACTCTAGGCTCCCGAATGATGTAGAATTCTTCATGCGAATTATCGACGCGCTCCGGATTGTTCAAAAATGTCTTTTAGTGAACGCGATTTTGGCGTCGTATCTTTTCAAGTATCATTTCGAGGGCAGTTGAAAAAGATTAACGAACTAATGGCTAAACAATAGGTGTACGTGCAACAAGTCGAACAAGTGTCGCGCTACCAGTCCTCCGATATCATATTTCCATATTAATAAACACGTGTCCTTTCCCTGAAGGCACTTTCTGTTTACAGCACTGCACGAAACTGGTTTAAAATGTCCCCTACAACAAACGTACAAGATCAAAGGTTTGTAAAAATTTTGATTTTTTAATTATTTGTACATACTTTGAAAAAGAAAATAGTGTTTTTTTTCTTTTGATGTGACTTTTTAGAAACCAAAACTTTTAGTGTTAAGTCAAGCTTTTCTTTCACTTATTTTGAATGCTAAAAATGTTGATAAAATTTGAATTGAAAAATAATTGCTTTGTGTCGAAGGATAAGGAATAATCAAATTAAAAATCGATCTTAAAAAACAATTGGTTCCACATTAGAATTCAAAAGAGTTATATAAAAGAAATTATAAAACTTGTTTTTGGTCGTCTTGTTATTTATATCAAAGCCCGAACGCTAAAAAGCAAAATATTCGACTTCAAACGAAAATATTTGATAGTCTAATTTCAAATTATTTAAAAAATCTATAGCAAGCATGAAGTTATGTATTATTGGGATATTAACGGCATGGCCCAGTTTTTCGTTTTCATCTAACTGCTAGTTTTCGTGACCACGATGATAAAAAGCTATTGATGCGGGTCATTTAATCTCCGTTGAGCTCGCTCCTCTAAATAGCTTACGTTTTTGAAACTTTGTAGTCTGTTGTATTGTAAGACGCTTTTGTGCCAAGGGAAACTTTCATTCTCGGTTAAATTTATGAAAACTTGAATTATATATCGAATAAATACCGTACAAGTATGAAAAAATAGTCTACACATATATGCGGATACTTTTGAAAACGGATTTTTTCTTTGAATACGTCACTAAGGCGCAACTTTTCGACAACGGTGTGTGTGAACGGGCGAAAACGAGTTGAAAACGCGTTAAGCCTGTACCAGATTTTTTGTCCTTTTTGGACAAAGGAATACAAAAATCCGTTTTCAAAAGTATCCGTATACGTGCGAGCGGTGTGCCTCTGATTTTACGAAGGTTTAAAATAAAAAAATGATCGAGGTGAGATAAGATCAAATAGAAATAAGAGAAAAGAACGACTTTTTCAACTGTTTCAATCGTTTCTCTATAAAAAAAAAATAAAAAAAATGATCTGGTACACGATGTCATTATCAAGTGAATTATATTCTATTTTACGAAAAAAGTTAAAATATGATTCTCGTCCAGATCTGTATAGCACGCTATGGCTTGTACTGCATTGTCATGCTCGCCGAAGCACGTAGAACAACTAGAGACTTAATTGTCAAAATCACTGAAAATATTAGCAGCAGGACGGCTTTTTTAAGATTCTAAACTGAATACGTTAGTTTTCTAATTATCCTCAACATTTTGTGCCTTTCGTGAGAGATAAACTTAGCGATCCATATGGATGACTTTGCACGTGGGCTTTGGACATTTTTTTCTTGGCAATCACTATTTTAGGCAATTTTCGTGACTTTGAGTGATGTTGCTTCGCACTTGAAAGAATAGTCAAGCATAATACATAGTAGTAGATAAAAATTCCATTGTTTTCTTTTGTTTTACTTTGACTCTTAGTCGCCAAATAATACTGACAACTTTATTTCGAGGGGAAAAGTGAAAATCACTCTGACTTGAGGGCCTGCACATTTATCAGTTCGTGAAAATGATAAAGTTTTCTAATACCCTCTATTCTAAATTTAGATTTTTGTAGTTTTTGTTAGTTCTTCTTTTTAGTTTGTCAACTTAATAAAACAAAATTTTTTATGATATTTTCATTCTAGTTTGATTTGCGATGAAGCTGAAGCTCGATACTGTGTGAAGGTTCTTCAAAGATTAAACACTTTTCGATACCAAGGACTCTTATGTGATGTGACCATTACAGCTGAAGACAGGGATTTCGCTGCCCACAAAGGAATACTGTCAGCATCAAGCGATTATTTCCAAGCTCTTTTTACAACGGCAATGATAGAAAAGAATAGTGAAAAAATAAACCTAGACGTTTCTTCGTCGATAGTTAATGAGTTGTTAACTTTTCTATACACGGGGAAGACTGATATCAACGAGAGTAACGTGGTAGAACTTCTTGTTGCTGCTGACTATTTAGTCATCCATGAACTCAAAGAGCAATGTGCCGACTACCTCGTACATCTTCTCTCAACTGTGACCTGCATAAAGATCTTTTCGCTGGCATTACAATGTCATTGCCCAGTTCTCAGAGTAAAAGCGGAGAGATTCATTCTCTGTAATTTTGTATCAGTTTTGGAAAGTGAAGATTTACAATCTCTGGATTGTAACCAGCTTGAGTGCATTTTAAAAAATGGAGACCTCATAGTAAATAGCGAAGAAGATGTTTACGAAGCTATACTTCTATGGATGAATGGTTATGGAGACAGAAAGCCGTATTTCGAGAGATTGTTTAGTCATATTCGATTATGTTCGCTCTCAGAGGATTTCGTTATGAATATCATTGAGAACGAGCCTTTAGTCAGGCAAAGCTCTGCTTGCATGTCACTTATACATCAGAGACTACAATCAACATTCGCCAACACTGATGATAAAGTACAAGTGCTTCAACCGAGAAAGTGTTTACGAAAAGAATTCCAAGGACTCGTAGTTGTTGGTGGAAAATCTGAGGGTAAAGTCCTCAAAGACACTTTGGTTCTCAACCCTAATGATAAAAGTTGGTCAGCTCTAGCCCCTTCTGAATGTGAACGAGAAGAACACCTCGTTGTTGCATGTAAAGGTCGTCTTTATGTTATTGGTGGAATGAAAAGATCACAAAGCATAGACTGTTACGACCCTAGCAGCAACATTTGGTCTACCGTAGCTCACTTGCCCGAGAAAGCCATTACGTCTGCTGGAGTTTGTCTCGATGGTAAAATTTTCATCATGGGAGGTAAAAATGGGTATGAAACAATGTCATGGGTGCAGTGCTTCGACCCTTCCAACAACCAACTACAAAGATCAGCGCCAATGACATTCCCTCGTAAAGCTCTTTGTGCTGTGGCACTAGATGGAGAGATCTATGCCATTGGTGGATGCACGTGCGACAATGATTCCTTAAACGTCGTCGAGAAGATGAACCCTAACCGTCACGATGGAAACGAATGGAAGCAAATATCTCCGTTGAGAGAGCATCGAAAATACGCTTGCGCAGAAGTATTGGCCAACAAGAAGATCTTGGTAGTTGGAGGATATCAAGGCACCAATCAAACGGCTTTGGACAGTTGTGAAGTGTACAGCACTGAAACTAAAGAATGGCAGATGGTCTGTAGTCTGGTATTGCCTCGTGCTGCTTCAGCTATGGCTTGTATTGATAACCAGCTGTACGTTGTTGGAGGTAGAAGTGATCGACGAAGCACAGACACCATAGAATATTATGATGAAGATAATAACCAATGGTGTATGTCACCTGTAACACTGCCTTACCCCTGTGCATGGATACAATGTACCGTTCTTGATGTCCCTAAGACACTACTCCATGGTACAGCACAGACACAATAGAATATTATACATAGATACATGTTTTAACGTTAAATCTTTTTTAAAATCCATTGTTTGTTAAATGAAATTTACTACTATTTTATATCGAACAATGCACAAATAACCAAAAAATTAATGTGGGTAGAAAAATATGTACCAATATCAAGTATGAATAAAAGCTTGTTTATCGTTGTTGTGGAAAGAAATATCAAGTTCAGGTAGAACAGTATACTTGTTCACAAAACTAAGTACGGTATTTTGAGTGCCATCCGAAAATTACCCCACAAATTTCCCTCCAGGAAATTTTGGACGTTTAGTCATGGGTGCTTTCCATTTAAACCAATCCATTCGGTTGGAAATTCGTTAGAACTTTTGACTTTCATAATATGGTGCGTACACGCGTCTACCGAAAGAACCGAAGAGCGGGAAAAGTGAATAACCTCAATCGGAAGAACGAGTTTTCCGGAACTTTCCGATCGCAATGACACAATAACATTTGTTTTCCAATCGCGGAATTTCCGGGTTTTTTTCGGGTAAATGTTAAAGTACCCCAGGTATCACTTACAACCAAATCGACACATTTTGAACACATATCCCGCATTAATCTTTGTTTAAGGGCTTGGGGGAAAAAACACTTGTAAGAAACGTCGTAACGACAAAATAAGACACATTTATGTATGAAATTAGGTTTTTACTTAATAAGACGACTGACTCGTATTTATGATTTAGTGAGTTCGAATACAGTAGTTAGCTGGTTAGGAAGACCTTCCAAACCTCTTCTTGCGTCGTTTTAGAATGAGTGAAATAAGATACAGTAAATACCCCAGTTTCGAGTTCTCTGTTGCTCAGGGTTAGCCCCGATTTTGTTTAGAATATTCACGTGTTCCAGTAAACGTCCGTGAAATTTCAAAATGTTTGTATCGCTGAATTTACTTCCTTTACTTTACCATTGGTATTTGGGAATAATTAGACACTGATTCGAGGCTAAGCCTGAGTAAATGAGTCTGTAATCAAGGAACACAGCGGTAATTTGGAACTCGACAATGGTCTATTCATAGCCGTACCTTATTTTTGCCAATCTTATTTACACGTTGGAAGATTAACACAGCAAACAAGACGTAGAAAGCAAATACAGTGTTTTGATATATTGTCCTTGCAGTGTCGCATGTTTCCTTTTCAGCACGTTGTTCACACAAGACGAAGCAAAGGTGATTGGGAAAAACACGGCAAATCACTGACTTATAGGCCCTGGCTAAACGAGGAAACATGTTTACCGCGAGCATGTTTCCCAGTTTAGCCACATGCGAAACATTGCTGCGTGCAACAAATTTTGGAAACACTGTTTCCCGATGTTTCCTGACAGTTTTGCCACCTTAGGAAACATTTAGGGAAACATATTTCTGGAAATATGTTTTCTCGTTTAGCCAGGGCCGTAAGCTTACAGTATATGTACTGTTACACGAAGCAGTTTTCTTTGCAAGTAGTTTTATAATTTCGTTACGAGAAGAAATAAAAACGTTGCCGCTGCACGAAAAGTGGGATGTTATGCTTTGCAACGTTCTCTGTGACTCATCTCGCAACGGTAACCGAACAAGACTGGGGTGCGCTAAATATTTACAATGTAACACCGACTATAATTGGTTGTTTACACAAATCGTTGGGTGTCAAGTTGTAAGAGGGATGGTACACTGTTTTCGCATTTTTTTWAACATTGAAGGGTCACCGCCRTTCTCGCTTCGATGCACAGACACTGTTACCTTTCAAGATCGCGTTGGGAACTGTGACATGGACTATTACCATTTCCACACGGTGTCATTCCCTAGAGTATCATTTCTTTGCTTAACGGTTGAAAAGACAAATGCATATGGTACAACACAAGCAATCTTATTCTCACGTGGTCTCAAATGGCTAAACATTACGTCCATCAACACTGTTTTCATTGCTATATGCTGATCGAGACAGAAGTCGCGACAGGAAAATCCGGCAATACATAGCCTGCGTGAAGCCGGCCTCTAACTGACTGAAAAGTCCGGCTGCACGCAGACTAGCAATACGCTGCCGTCAATCGGAGTATGTAAAGGTACCGAACGATATATTTGATTGACGACATTCTATTGGCCGATTAACTTGAATCACATCGTCTTTGTCTCCTGTCCCTTAAAAATACTGACAAACCACCAACTACAAAACTTGCTATACATAAATTATACTCTTCTAAAGACAGACACACTAAAGTAGAGTTCACAAACTGAGTCCACAGGGAGCCCAATAGGTAAAAATGAAATGGAAAAATAAGTAAATACCCTGTGTACATATCGTATTTTCTTTATGTGGCGCCCTTAACAATGGATACTAATAAGAAATATATTGTTGAATGGCACAAACGCTTCCCCCAGAAGCCGCGATGTCGTAACGTGTAATCAAAGAACTACTAGGGAATGCTTGGTAAAGTCTTGAGGCTTAAATAAATGGAGGAAATAAGGTATTGACTATATGTCATACAATAGGGAATTATATAGGAAAACAAAGGCGCCCACGAAAAAAAAATGTTCTAGTGCATTTTCGAACGATTTTTTCACTCGCTTGCATTACATAATAGGCCATTATCTCTATTGACCTCGAATAAAAAAAATAAGGTCAATTTTCCCCACGATTTTATTTTTACCTTTCACTTTAATCTTTAATGGGCTCCCTGTGCTAAATCCTTAAAAAAATCAGTTTAAAAAATCCACCAAGATAAGAATTTCAACAATTTACATGTCGATCTGCGTGTCAGGATTTCTGTCCAGAGGAGCTTGCGAAGAGATCCCCTGCTGAAGGTAGAGGAGGAAGGCCACCATCTACATCGGGTAGCTTCGAAAGGTCGGGTAGATTATCGAGATGAGATTTGAGCTCCTTTCTTACCATCGTGACTTTATCGAGTTTTGCTCTGAATTCCTGTGAGCAAAAAAGTAGCAAAAGTGTTTTCTAAAAATTGATTTTTCATCCGAATCCTAGAAAATATTCACGTGCCAGGAATATATGTTTGAAACTCTCGTTACAGTGGACCGACATTTGGGAAGCCACTTGTTTTTCGTAATGCTGAGCCTTGGCAATGGGACAGTCTTCTCAAAATTATCTTGGATGTAATGCTAACATGAAAATGCAAAAGAAATCATACTTTTCCTCGATGGAATTTGCTGCATTTCTTTTGTATTTCCATGTTAGCCTCATATTCAAGATAATTTTGAAAAGGGTGCATAGCGATGATTAATTTCTGTCATTTTTTCTTCTCCCTTTCGTGAGCCCCGTTTACACTAGCGATATTTGCGGCGATTTTTGCTGCGATTTTTGCTGCGATTTTTGCTGCGATTTTTGCTGCGATTTTTGCTGCGATTTTTGCTGCGATTTTTGCTGCGATTTTTGCTGCGATTTTTTGCGATTTTGTCCATAATAAATAATGGTAAGAATTTACTTGTAAAGTTTTTTTCCGGATACCAAGATTTTCCTAGACGAATGTCTCTTTTGAAGGATGAGACAAAAGATTTCATATTTCCGAAAATTGCCACAAAAATCGCAGCAAAAATCGCCGCAAATATTATACTATAAGCCCCTTATAGTAATTGATCGTAATAAAATATTAACTTATATTATTTTAACGATAGCTTTCCTGCCACACAGGAGCATCTTCATGTTTCTTACCTCTAATCTTTTTTCGGTTTCTGCGAGTTTATCTTTTTGAAGCGCAAGAAAGGAAGACAACATTTTTGAGAGAGTTACACGATCTTCCATCTCAGCAGAAAGTCTTCCATTGTACTCAGCTAACAACACACATGCTTTATCCACAATCCGTGTCAAGCGATCTCCTGTTTCCTTATCTGATATAGTAAGATAAATAAATAAAATAAATAAAAATAAATAAATATATAAATAAATAAGAAAGAAAAGAAAGAAA